GCCCCCCCACCAGCCCCTCTTCCAGGCCTGTGTGTCGGGCGCGTCCCGCCCGGCCCCGCACGGACGTTCAAATTCCCGGCGCTTGGAGTCCACGGAAATGTAGATATCGGTGCCTTTTATTTTTATTTTTATTTTTATTTGGTTGGTCTAGGAGGCTATTAGCCACCTCAACGTAAGGAGGAAACTAGCAGTAAGTTCTGCTTATCGCTTTTAAATGTCGCTGTTCAGGAGCACAGTAGGGAACGGAGTGGAGTGCACTTGCCCCAGGAAGAAGGAGACGGCCGCTTATAAGGGGACTTTGGAATTCAGGCCGGGCCATTTTTATTTAACTCTTGTAAAGGCGTCACTGACATGCCTTTTCCCCTTGCTAACCAGATAGATTGCCTGGTTTTCTCTAGCGGAGCTTGCTTACTCCTGAGCCCCGATCCAGACGCGTGTTTGTAAGCAGCTTGCTCTAGGCTGTGAGTCCCTTTTCCGACCGAGACAGACAAGCACGCCTGTTAATGCGCTTTTCAGGCCAAACCACCGTCTGGCCCATAGGACCAGCAGCATCTCCGAGCTGGCGAGCAGCCGGCCGAGCCGCTGTGAAGTGCATGCAGAGCTTGCATGCCGAGCGCCTGGAACATGCACCCCCTGGCAGAGTGAACACGGCTTCCCCGGTCTCACCACGGGGGATGCCTGTGGTGGGTGCCAAGAGCTCTTTGGGTAAAGGAGACATTCATTATGGGCGGGTACCTCATTTTCAGGAGATCAAGGTCAAGAATTTGTGCCCAACAAGGACATTATAGAATCGTGTTCATTTTTCCTTTATTTGGTCTCTGAAGTCAAAACAAACTTTTTTGTTTTGTTTTGTTTCTGGCTTGAAAAAGTAGCCCATCTGATACCTCCTACCCTCCTTTTTTTGTTCCTGTCTTAGATCCCATAAGAAAAGACAATATATATTGTTCTGTTTTGTAACCATCTCTCCCCCAACCCCCACCTCCACCCCTCCCAGTGGTGATGTTAAAGGTGGCACAAGTGCCTTGGATTAAAGTGAAATTGATTTACAAGCCATTTTTAAAAAAATATATTTTATTGATTTTTTATAGAGAGGAAGGGAGAGGGATAGAGAGTTAGAAACATCGATGAGAGAGAAACATCGATCAGCTGCCTCCTGCACATCCCCTTCAGTCCGCAGGCTGACGCCCTAGCCACCGAGCCAAACCGCTTAGGGCTACAAGCCATTTTTAGGTAATTTTTTTCTGGAGTTTTCATTGGTCCTGGGGTCCCAAGTGGATGGGGAAGAAATGTACCTGCTCAAGGATATCTAGGAGACTGTTGAATAGATTGGCAAAAATTTCTCAAGTAACCAGCTTCCTCTTACATTCATACCGGTCTGCCCCAAAGTGACTCATGGACAACAGGTGGGATCCAGGTGGTGCCGGCAGGAAGGTGGGCTGAAATTCCAAGCATTTTCAGTGGTAGGGGAAGGAGTCGCTTTAGGCCACTATCTATTCCTGGGTCGCATGCTTTTTTTGGCTTTTATTTGTTCTCCTTCACTCTCTGTGTATGCCATGCATCTCCCTGGTCTCTTTGCTTAGGGTTTCCTGCTTGCCATTGACACTTCATAATCTTACCCAGCAGATGTCCCACATCATCCATAAACCTTTCTACAATGAAGGCAGTCTGCTCTGACCTATTTTTTTCTGAAGTTTGATAGCAGAGAAGGTGTACATCATACAGTGTAGGTATTGGTAATTTGACACTGTTCACTAAGAATTTCATATGTCATTGTTGTCTCCAACTGTGGTGTGCAGCTTCTTCAGGGGAAGGAACTATACCCATCTCTTTGTGTCTCCCGTTGTCTTTAACACAAAACTAATCCACTTTTATGTTGTGTTTTATATATGATATTTCTTCTGCCTGAAGATGTCCTCACTCCACTCAGCAAACTCCAATTCTTTCAAAACCCAGTTCAAATACCACTTCTTCAGTGAAACCTTTCTCTTCCTAGAAAGGATTAACCTTATTTTACTCCATCATCTACAGTCACACATGCCTTTAATTTCTTTATAGGTTTGGTTCTGCCATTGGCCTGGGAAGTTTGGGACTATTGTATTCCTAATGTTTAACGTAACACCTTGCATATTCTGAGTGTACAGTTAATATGGGACTGCATGGAAAAGAGACTTATTTTTGACAGTCTACCCTTTTGTAGACTCTTGCTTTACATTTTTATTTTGCAATCTAGATTCACAAGAAGTGGCAAAATAGTACAGACTACTGATGTATCTTTTACCCAGCTTGCCATAATGCTAACAACTTACTTAACTACAGTCCTTTGTGGAGTTTTTAATTTTGTTCTGTCTGCTTATATTATCTATTTTAAATAATTTCTTAAAAGGTGACTTAAAGGTTATTAATAGTAGATATGATTACTTTGATATTGTTAGATAATAAGTAATGACCTTTGTACATATACTTTTCAACTCAGTAAATCTTCAGAATTTCAATTATTACCTTTTTTTTTTGAATAGGTCTTTCAAATACCTGGTTAAAAAAAATCTTTAGACCTTGGATTATATATTGAAAGATGATTAGCCTTAAATATGTTGTTTTGATTTTAAATTTTGGAAAAATTTTAAATACAGAAGTTTATTTGGGATCAGAAGCAGGAATATTTGCTACTTAATAAAGTTCTACATAAATTTTGATCTAAGGATGCTTTACAATAATGTTATTGTCTATAGCCTTTGGTTAGCCTTACATGGCCTTGTTTCATGTAGTATTTCAATAACTAAGTCTTATTTGTATGGAAGCTAAGATGAACCTTAGATTATATATTAAACTAGATCCTGTTACTTTAAATAAAAAAAATTGATTTAATCACAATACTAAATTAGCACAACATTAAATTTTGTTATCTTTATATTTCAGAACATCAATATTTTAAAAATACTTTTGAATTTCCTCTTTTAAAGGTGCATCTGAACTGTTTACTGTTTATTCGTCGACTGGCAGAAGAGGCCAGGACAGATGCTTGTAAGAATAAGTGTGGAATTATTAAAGACCAGCATGTACTGGCTGCAGCAAAGGTAAGGCCTAATTTTTTAAAAAATATATTTTTATTGATTTTAGAGAGGAAGGAAGAGGGAGAGAGAGATAGAAACATCAATGATGAGAGAGAATCATGGATCGGCTGTTTCCTGCACACCCCACACTGGGGATCAAGCCCGCAGCCCGGGCATGTGCCCTGACCAGGAATGGAACCGTGACCTTCTGGTTCGTAAGTCCACACTCAACCACTGAGCCACGCTGGCCAGGCATGAGTTTCTTTTCTTGAGCAAGAATTGACTTTAAAAGTACCACTTGGTTCATCACTTCTGCCTGATTTAGATTTTTTTATTCAGCTTTGTCTACTCAGTTGACAGCTTTTCATGTTAATGGATTTAATTAAGGAGTCAGATTTTCTTTCTCTATATGTATATTATGGATCGCTGATGCAAAGATTCATGGCCACTGATTTATTACTATTTAGGGGAAAATTAATGTTTGACTGTAATCTTTAGGATTTGTAGTGGGCTATATATAGTTGAGAAGGTTATCACCTTGAAATTTATCAAAACTTCTTGATCATTTTGCTTTTCTAATTACCTATTTGTTTTTCTAACTGTATTTTGCGTGACTTATGTATGACTCAAATTACTTATAAAAACAGAGGAGATTGCTTCTTACTGGTAGTTCTATGTAATGTGAGAGTATGATGCCTAGGGCAGAGTTTTTTCCAAATATGTTCCCGAGATCATTTCCACTTGATGTTAATAGATGCCCCACCATGAAAAGCTTCTGGTGTCAAGATACATTAGATAACTTAACATACTATACCTCCTTGAATAGTCACAATGTTATTATGTATATAGAGTCTGTTTCTATAGGAATATGCAAGAAATTGGCAACCATGGTTGACTGGGAGCGATGTGGGAGAGAGACTTACTTTTGACACTGTATGTCTTTGTATACTTTTGTTTTGAAATAATTATAGACTGACTCACAGAAAGTGCATAAGTAGTATAGAGAGTTCCATGTACTTTTTGTTCATCTTTACACAATGCTAACATCTTTATATAACCATAGTTATGTAAAGTTTTAAAAGGTTATGGAAAATATAGTAGTAAAGAAACTTGTTGAACTCTGTTTAATTTAGCATTTTGTAAATTTGAATACATAATATACTCAGCATTTTGAAAATTCATTTGAGTACATAGTACTTCCTTTTGTCGTATCCATGCTAACATAAAACAGAGAAGTACTAACTTAGGGTATAGACCTATTTGGTGGCATAGAGCAAGCCTAGAAATGTGCATGCCCTGCCATTTTTTTTTAGAGGTTTCAAATTTTCTTACAATTATAAACATTCTAACAAGATTCTAGACTATTAAAGTCAGTTTTTCTGTAGGTAAATCAGGGTTTAAGAGCTTGAAGAATGTATGTATGTATTTTAAATTTAGGGTTTATTTTTATTAACAAATGATAGGTATGCTTAACCTAAAAGTAGGTAAGTTCTTTAAAAAAATTTTTGGATATATTCTGGTCTAATGCTTCCTGTCTTTTAAGACTAAAGATCCGTTGTTTTATTTTTGTCATGGACTATATGTTTTGAAAATTGTCTACCTAATAAGCTTTACAGCATTAGATGACTAGTCTTGGTCTTTAACTTGATATGATTCCAGAACAAATGTAAGAAATATGGTGTTGCAATGGGTTTGTATTGCTTTATAGTTGTTAAATGCCCAATTTATAAATAGGATTTTAGAATTTTAGAACATTCTGTAACTCCCAGGATTACTAAATTGTCTACAGATGTTAGAAACCATTAATATGGTCATTTTTGGCTTACAATTGAAGAAATTAACATCTAGAAGTGACTATAAAACCAGATTTTGAGAATCTAGGCACGTTTTACATTATTTGAGAGAAATAGAAGTCTCAGACCATTTATAAGGCAAAAGGATTCCCTAGTCATCTTCTGTATTGGGTTTTATAAATTCAGTCTTACATATTATAAACATAGGAATATTTAACTTTTTGTTGAGGAATTATGTTTTATTTGCTATAGCTATAATATGAATCTTCATATTTTTTTCTCCTTCACAGGTAATGCTAAAGAAGAGCAGAGGTTAGAAGTCAAAGAACACATTTTTGAAATTTATATGATGAATTTTTTTATTTTAGTTGGTAACAGATCGTGAAAGCACTTTTTACATATTAGTTAATATTGTGTATTAAAATATTGGCTGCTTGAGGGATATGTGCATTTGTGTATTCATTTACTAGCATTGAAACATCTCAAACAATATCTAACTTTATTTTTTAGTAATTATGTTTCATTCACTTTAAATGGACTCAAGTTCATTTTACTTTTGCTTGATTGGTATTGCAAATGTTTTGCATATTAAAAATGAAATCTTACTATATGAACTGGCCTGAAGAGATGTATTTCTTGAAATTAAGCTTATAAGTATTTACCTTTACATACAATTAACTATGGAATTAATTTAATCTTTGAAAAAGTACAATATACAATCAAATCTAGGTCCATTTAAATAATTTAAACTCTTTTAAAAAAAATTCTTTATTGTTTAAAGTATTACATATGTCTCCTTTTCCCCCATTGACCTCTCCCTGGCCACTCCCACCCCCCAGCACATGCCCTCACCCCCTACTGTCTGTGTCCAATGGTCATGCTCCTGTGCATGCATACAAGTCCTTTGGTTTGGTTGATCTCTTACCCCAACCCCACTCCCACCCTCCCCTATCTTCCCTCTGAGATTTGATGGCCTGTTCGATGCTTCTATGTCTCTGGATCTATTTTTGTTCATCCACTATGTTCATTATATTCCACATATGAGTAAGATCATGTGATATTTATCTTTCTCCGACTGGCTTATTTTGCTTAGCATAATGCTCTCCAGGTCCATCCATACTGTTGCAAATGATAAGAGTTCTTTCTTTTTTGCAGTAGTGTAGTATTTCATTGTGTGGATATACCACACCCATCTGCTGATGGGCACTTAGGCTGTTCCCAAATCTTAGCTATTGTAAATTGTGCTGCTATGAACATAGGGGTGCATATATCCTTTCTGATTGGTGTTTCTGGTTTCTTGGGATATATTCCTAGAAGTGGGATCACAGGGTCAAATGGGAGTTCCATTTCCAGTTTTTTGAGGAAACTCCATACTGTCTTCCATAGTGGCTGCACCAGTCTGCATTCCCACCAGCAGTGCACAAGTGTTCCTTTTTCTCCACATCCTCTCCAGCACTTGTCGTTTGTTGATTTGTTGATGATAGCCAGTCTGACAGGTGTGAGATGGTACCTCATTGTTGTTTTGATTTGCATCTCTCGAATGATTAGTGACTTTGAGCATGTTTTCATATGTCTCTTGGCTTTCTGAATGTCCTCTTTTAAAAGGTGTCTATTTAGGTCCTTTGCCCATTTTTTGATTGGATTGTTTATCTTCCTTTTGTTAAGTTGTATGAGTTCCCTATAAATTTTGGAGATTAGGCCCTTATCAGATATAATGTTGGCAAATATGTTCTCCCATGTAGTGGGCTTTCTTGTTGTTTTGTTGATGGTTTCTTTTGCTGTGCAGAAACTTTTTATTTTGATGTAGTCCCATTTGTTCATTTTCTCTTTAGTTTCAACTGCCCTAGGAGCTGTATCAATGAAGAAATTGCTTCGGCATATGTCTGAGATTTTGTTGCCTTTGGATTCTTCTAGAATTTTTATGGTTTCCTGTCGTACATTTAAGTCCTTTATCCATTTTGAGTTTATTCTTGTGTATGGTGTAAGTTGGTGGTCTAGTTTCATTTTCTTGCATATATCTGTCCAATTTTCCCAACACCATTTATTGAAGAGACTATCTTGGCTCCATTGTATGTTCTTGCCTCCTTTGTCAAATATTAATTGAGCATATTGGTTCGGGCTAATTTCTGGACTCTCTATTCTATTCCACTGATCTATAGTTTCATTTTTTTGCATATATCTATCCAATTTTCCAACACCATTTAGTGACGAGACTGTCTTGACTTTATTGTATGCTCTTGCCCCCTTTGTTAAATGTTAATTGAGTATAATGGCTTGGTTGGTATTGCAAATGTTTTGCATATTAAAAATAAAATCTTAGTATATGAAGTAGCCTGAAGAGATGTATTTCTTGAAATTAAGCTTATAAGTATTTACCTTTACATACAATTAACTATGGAATCAATTTATTCTTTGAAAAAGTACAATGTGCAATCAAATCTAGGTTCATTTAAATAATTTTAACCCTTTAATGCCTTTGTGAACTGCATTACTTACTGAGTTGTACTCTATGTATGGTATTTATATACCACAGTTTTTGTACAACTATTCACCCACTGAGGGCCATTTGGCTATTTCCAGTTTTTTACTATTACAAATAAAGCTGCTATAAACAATCATTTATGAGTTTTTATACAGATACAAATTTTCATTTCTCTGGGATAAATGCCCAGGAGTGTGATTATGGGTCATATGGTAAGTATATGTTTAGTTTTTAAAAAAGAAATAGCCAAACTATTTTCCAGAGTGGCTGTATCATTTTATATTCCCATCAGCTGTTATGAAAGATCCACTTTCTTCACATTCTCATGAATATTTGGTATTATTTTTTATTTTAGCTGTTCTCATTGGAGTGTGTCTCTTTAAGCTTTTAAATTTGCATTTCCTTAATGGCTAATGGTGTTGCACATATTTTCATATGTTTATTTGTCATCCACTTTTCCTCGTTGGTGAAATATTTCTTTTTGGGGGGTACATTTCCTGTTTGGGTATTTTTTATTGTTTTTGTTTGTTTGTTTTTTTGTTTTTTTATAGCAAAGGTGGAGATTTATTGAAGAACAAGTACAGACTCCCACATGGGGAGAGGGAAAGAGTCCCACAGAATGGACTCCCACATGGGGAGGGGGAAAGAGTCCCCTGGGTCTTTTGTTTTTTTAATGTTGAATTTTGAGAGTTCTTTATTCTAGGTATGGGCCTCTGTCATTTAATGTGGTTTGAAAATATTCTGTGTAGCTTTTATTTTATTTTTAATGGGTCTTTTGAAGATCAACAGTTTTTAATTTTGATGAAGTCTAATTTATTGGATTTTTTTTTTTTCATGTATTGGTGTCATGTTTAAGAACTCTTCACCAAATCCTAGGTCCTGAAGATTTTTTTCCTATATTATTTTTTTTACAGGTTTTGTAGTTTGTTTTACATTTAAATATCTGATCTATTTTGAGTTAATTTTTGTATAAGGTGTGAGGTTTAGGACAAGTTTATTTTTATATTTGTAGATACCCAATTGTTAAAGCACCAAGTTTTGAAAGGGCTATCTTTTCTTCATTGAATTTGTTTTTCACTTTTATCACAAATTCATTGGTCATATTTATATGGGCTATTCTTGGGTTCTGTATTCCACTGTTTTTTGTTTGTTTTTTTTTCAATCCTCCACCAATAACATATGGACTTTATTAAAATAGCTATATAATTAGTCTTGAAATTAGTAGAATGATTCCTCGTACTTGATTCTATCTCAGAATTGTTTTGGCTTGTCTAGTTCCTTTGCCTTTCCATAGAAATTTTAGAATAATCTTGTTTGTATCTATAAAAGAATCTTGCTGGAATTTTCATTGGTATGCATTAAATCTGCATATCAAGTTGGGGAGAATTGGCATCTTAACTGTATCAAAACTTCTAGTCCATGTATGTGGAATATCTTTATTTATATCTTTGATTTGTAGTTTTTACTTTTTTCATTTTCTTTCTGTTTAGAGAACTTCCTTTTGTCATTGTTTTAGTGTAGGTCTGCTGGTGACAAATTTTCGTAGTGGCCTTTATTTGAGAATGTCTTGATTTCCCCATAATTCTTGAAGCATATTTTTGCTGGATATAAAATTTGGGGTTGAGAGTGTTGTTTTTTGTTAACACTTGAAAACTTTTTAACCCTATTTCTTTTTTCTTTCCTTCTGGGTCTCTGATGACACAGATGTAAGATGTTATTTTATAGTTCCACAAAGTTTTGCTTGTTTTATTTTTAGTCTATTGTTCTTTGTTGTTTAGATTGGCTGATTTCTGTGTTTCATCTTATAGTTAACAGATTATTTTCTCTGTCTCCCCCCTTCTGCTGTGACCCATTGAGTGGTTTTATTTAATTTTTAGTTACGTATTTTTTAGTTTTCAGAGTTCCTTTGAATGTCTTCTTTATATCTTTGCTGAGACTTTCAATTAATTAATTAATTAATTAATTAATTTATTTCAAATGTGTTTGTAATGACTCATGCATTTTTATGATGGCTGTTTTGAAATCCTTGTCTCATGATTCTAACATTGTGCCATCTTGGTGTTGGCATTCATTTTTTATCATTCAGTTTGAGATCTTGAGTCTTTATTATGATATGCCCCCCCCACCCTTCCCCCCACCCCCCACTATTAGTTAAAGCTTTCCAGTAAAACCTTTTTGGTTTTCAGCAATCTTATTATGTTTAATTCCCTTAGGCTTTGTTTTGTTTTGTTCATTTGTTTTCTTTTTTAAAAAAATCTCTTTTATTGGAAGTATTACATATGTCCCCCTTTTTTCCCATTGACCTCTTCTAGCCCTCCCCCACCCTAGGTCTTCACCACCCTATTGTCTGTGTTCATGGGTTTGGCATATATGCATACAAGTTTGTTGATTGAGCTCTTCCCACTCAACCACCCACTCCTGCCTTCCCTCTGTAGTCCTTTTTATTCTGCTTGAGGTTCCCGAACTTTTTTGAAATGGTGAGATGGTGTCTTTCACCAGTTTTTGTGTGACCTGATTATACATTTTTAGAAATTTGCATGAGTTGTAATAAAACTACAACTAGGATATCACAGAGTAAAGAAAAATAATGTTACCTGTGTGTAAAAATATATGTGTTTATAATGAAAATAGGCTATTCTAAAGCTACTGTTAAGGGATTTCAGTAACTAGTAAAGTAAGAAAAATGTCTATTTTTGTTTTCCTTAGCTCTGATCCACAAAGCATTAAATAAAAATGAGCATTTTTATGTTTTTGGCTGTATGAGTTTTCCCCCCATATTTTGTGGGTGATGAAATTTCTTAATAGTGAAGTCCAGATTTCTGATTAAGCAATTTGTTCTTAGTGGGCTTTTAAATCAAATTTTATCTCTGAGCTTTGAGAGTTAGGGCTGCCAAGATTTGAATGAGGAGGAAAAACATTTTGATCCCTACTGACATTAAATTTTAAGACTTTGTAGTTGTAAAACATAAATACTAAAAATAATTCAAGTTTGAAAATAAAGTTGCAATTGTGTTATTATTTTTATTATATTTACTGTGCATGGAAAAATGCAATCTAATATAGGTATGGTATACAGTTACATTTGAGTTATATTATAAGTTCACGTTAGAGCCTTAAAAATTTGTT